TCATTTTTTTCCTTACAATTTCCTGAACAGAAAGATAGTCCTACTTGATGGATGTAAGAATTTTACAGGAACTTCATGAATTTATCATTCTTACACTTTGCTCAAATTCCAAAGTTCAAATTCTTAGTTCCAAAATTCAGGCAATTTAAACTAAAGTTAAAAATGCTACTTTCAGTTTAGGCTTAAATACTAATTTAAGTTTAAATAAAAAAGCCCACGATATTCATTACTCCAACAAAATACAAATGACTTTGTGCAAGGAGTAGCACCATTCTCTATTAACCGTTCATGACACATTAACCCGTGAAGGTTTCTAACTAGACCCCTAAGCTGACTGCCCAAATCACTAATGACTATAGGTGTAATGAAATTAAGCTTTGATATTTCACATTGCTTAACACTCTTTGACTGCATTTAGCTCTGTCTTATGTAGTTTGCTTATAAAGAAATAGGTGGGTATGTGTGAATGACCCCAGGTAAATGTATCCCAGAAGCTGACCAAAAAGAGGACAAAATGTAAATAGTATTCTTTCCTGGTGGGTCTACATAGCCAAGCACAGTGATAAATACCTCTCCCTTCTTGTGGAGCAGGGCTTCACAAAGTGTGGTCCCTGCACCAGCAGCATCCGTGTCAATATCACCTGAGAACTTGGCAAAAATGCAAACTCTCAGGCCCCACCTACTTTTCCAGATCGGAAACACTGGGGTGGGGCCCAGCAATTCCTGGTTCAACAAGACCTCCAGGTGATTCTGATGAATGCTCAGGGAACCGCTGTTCTAGAGAGACCAGATAAACGAGTACGCTACACCTGGACCGGGGTTTCTCAAGCTCAGCACTATTGACATTTGGGGCCCAATAGTCCTCCACTGTGGGGACATTACAGGATGCCGAACAGCATCCCTGGCCTCTACCCAGATGCCAGTGGTACCCACTCCTCATTTGTGACAATCAAAACTGTCTCCAGATATTGCAAAATATCCCCTGGGGGGGCGGGCAAAACCACCCCTAGTCAAGAATCACTGTCCTAAACTTAAGTGAAAACTAACTTCAGGAAGACCTTCATATCTTTCACTTTTCCTCTCAAAATGCTCCCAGCTAGTTTTCACTGCTTTTGGCTTTTACAAAATGAATTAACCTCAGCAGGACCCTACTTTAAATGTTAAAAATTATTTTTCTGAGCATTAAAGCAAAAGTCGTACAGAAAGGGTACAAGCCAATTTTCTTAAAACCCCAAAAACCACTAGAAAGAAAGGAAGGATAATTGACTCATGGCAAAGGTAGAATCCTAGCATTTTACGGTTGCTGCCAGAGTAGTCAACTATTGACTGATACTGCCCAGACTCAGTTTCTCTAAATGTATAGAAAAACCAGGTGCATGGCAGAAAGAAGTAGGACCTCAGAATCAGCCCTGGGTTCAAATGTGAGTCCTATCACTTAATAGCTATGTGATCTTGGGCAGTTACTTCATCTTTTTTGCATCCATTTTCTGACCTGCCAAACAGCCATTACAATATGATGCACATACTGTTTGTTCCATAATACCCCCAGCAAGACCTAGGACAGCATCTGCAATGAAACACACTGCTATTTCTATAGTGAAACAGATGAATACTCACACTGCATCTAAAAAAGATTACAAATAGTCTCATCCATTCAGGTCAACTTTTAGCACCAAATGATTTGCAGGTCCAACTTACACACACACACACACACACACACACACACTTTCGACTTTCAGAATGTACTGAATTTTAGAAATGCTGATAAGGGTAGGTGAACATACCCACCTTATGGCAGGGAGGGGGGGATTGGCTGCAGTAACACACATAGGTCCAATTCTGTACTGGTAGAAAGAAGGGGCTCTCAAAAGGTTAGCTATTGTTATTTCTAAAGTACAAATTCCAATCACGTCATTTGCTTGCTTTCAACTCTTTGATGGTTCCTCATTGCCTACAAAATAAAGTCCCAATTCCTAAAAGTGGCACACAGGGAAGGCCTTTCCTAAACTGGACACTGGCCCTTCCAGCTCTCAGTCCTCCCCCTTGCCATGGGCACCCACACAACTTTTGCTCCAGTCACCCAGAAATACTTATGGTTCTTTACCCCTTAAAATCCCTCTGGTCTCTTCCTCTGTCTGCAACAAGAAGTGCATCCCTCCTTCCTTCCTACAGACCCTGTATCCAGAAAGACGTGCTCCGATGACCTCCTCTAGGCAGCTGTCCTTGAACCCCGATCTCAGCCCAATCCTCCTCCTCTGTGTCTTCCCAGCACCCCTGAAAGCTGAGTGCGTAAGGCCATCTCGTCACTAGACTGTCCAGCCCTTGGGAAAGGGTGATTTAGGTGTCACCTGTCTTTCTACCCAACAGATCTGGCAAAGGTCCTGCACATGGTAAGTGTCTGATAAATACTTGAATGAATAAGGGAGGTCAGTGTTCTACTTCCTCAGACATATAGGTTGGTTTCATCAGGTCACGGGCCATAAAAATCACGGAATCGGAAGTTACGGGAGGGCAGGTACTGTGGCTTTTGATGCCTGTTGTATTCTCAGGGCCTGGCACTCCATAAATACAGTATTTCTAAGTGAGTGACTTAGCAAGTGAGTGAGTGATGAGCATGACACATCATTTACAACAGTGTGAAAACCAACCACCACGACCAACAACAAAAAACCCCCACAGCCACTCGCTGTCATTCAATCTCGTGAAGTGTGGCACATACTGAAAAGGTTGTCCTACCTTCAAGGAAGTTCCGTGGGCCTGAAACACAAATTAGAAACCTGAGGTGTCAACCCTCACCCACCCCAGTCATCCACCCAGGCCGGCAGTCACAGCGGTGCACCAGAGCAAAAACGAGCTGATCCGAGGCTCCCCAGAACGTTTCAGTCCCAGAGCAGCTTAGTAATCACTTTCCATAAAACATTTATCAGCACTGCTCCTGGCCAGTAATCTCAGATATTCAGCAATTTACCCAACACGCATGAGTCATGAACAAAATATTTTACTGAATAAAGACTGCTAACTTTGAAAGAGTGTCGCCTCCATCTGTGTTCATATCATGCAAGTACCATTATTCTGTCCTTTGTCTTTTTTTTTTTTTTTTTTTT